GAGAGAGAGGGAGAGAGAGCTTTTCTGCCCAGTGGTGGTGTGCATAGACCAGGTCCAAGGCAGAGTTTTCGGCTGTGTTCTTCTTCCACATGGGGATTTTATTCTGCATATCCTCTAGGAAAGCTTTTGGCCAAGGGGTCTCCAAACTTGACAGCTTTAAAGACTTGTGGACTTCCAACTCCCAGAATTCCTCCTCTGGTCATGTTGGCTGAGGAATTCTGGGAGTTGAAGTCCTCAAGTCTTCAACTTGCCACATTTGGAGACCCCGGCTCTTGAGCTTCGTGGATTGCCTTAAACCAAGGTATCTCAACCTTGACCACTTGAAGATGGGTGGACTTCAACTCCCAGAATTCCTGAGCTGACATGACTGGAGGAGGGATTCTGGGAGTTGAAGTCCACAAGCCTTTAAAGCTGTCAAGTTGCTTTTGACCTGGAGGGCAACTCAAGAGGTATTTTAAGTGACTCTTTAGCTTCTCCAGAAAAGTCACCAAGTATGGAATAACACTGCAGCCCCTCTTTCCCCAAATACCCCCCCCGGCCCCCAGCTGTTTCCACCTCTGGATTTTACAAGCCGATGGTTGCAACCTGTTTCTTGAGGCTCCTGGACAGTGATGGGCCAATACCTAGACCAATACCCAAGACACCTAAAGCCCACCCTCCCCAGAGCGTGTTCAGGGGGCCCAAGGTGTGGGCACCTCTGCTTTACCTTTGACCCCTTCCCAGAAGTCGTTGCGATCCCTCCGGACGGAGGAGAATTTGCTCAGGTCGTGGTAGGTGCTCCAGATGTAGACGTACTTGTCTTCCGAGCCGCTGACGATGTAGGTGAAGTCGTGGCTGGAGACGGAGAGAGGAGAGCCCTTCGCTTCCAGATCACGGCCGACTCTCCAAGCCCCACCTCAGGGGAAGCCCCGTCAAGGCCAGCAGGCCTCGGGCTCCGGATTTAGGACACGCTCCCTTCAGCCAGGAGCTCCGGACCGGCCCTCCCTGCTTTCCTTCCGGACCCCTCTTCCTCACCTGAAGCTGGCTTTGATCTGGCTGCTGCTGTTGACGTAGCCCTTGTACTTCATGGAGAGGGACAGGTCCCGCAGGTCGTAGAGCCGGATGCGCGAGTCGTTGGAGGTGACCAGGATCTAGCGAGGGAAGGAGGCTTTTTCGTTCAAGGGCTGGCCTTAGGAGCCTCGGTGGCACAGTGGTTAGAGGGCAGCACTGCAAGCTACTTCTGCTGACTGCCGACTGCCTACAATTTGGCAGTTCAAATCCAGCCAGGCTCAAGGTTGACTCAGCCTCCCGTCCTTCCGAGGTGGGTAAAACGAGGACCCAGATTGTTGGGGGAGCAAGAGGCTGACTCTGTAAAACCGCTTAGAGAGGGCTGGAAAGCACTAACAAGCGGTATATAAGTCTAAGGGCTATTGCTATGGCCATCTTGTGACCCAAACGGGCAGATGCCCTCCTGGGCCACCCCGGGATACGCTGTCAGAGCTGGCTTCTTGCTCTCCACGGCATCTTTTGCCAGCTTGACCTCAACAAAGGGGGGAGGGGGCAAGAGACTGGAATTGGGGGGGACACGTTGGGGAGGAAATGAACCAGGAACTTCTCTCTGCTAATCCAACGAGTGGGATGGATGAGACAATGCCTTCAGGTTGACCTGTGCTTTCAATGCGGTGGTGGAGGCCTTCAGATTTATGGACCAAACTCATGGCCTTTGGAGGCTGGGTGACTCCCGCTGGTGGCGGTGGGCGTATGGCCCGAAATCGCCTGGGCAACTGCATGTATAGGACCCCCCCCAACAATTCCCCCAGGAGGTCGCACCCCGAGACTCAGCCTGGCCTGGCGCTACCTTGTTTTCACCCGGCAGGGGCTCGATCCCTGTGATCTTCCTCCCCACTCGATTCCGTCCCCTGGTCGACCGCACGTGGATCTGAGTGTGGTACTTGAGGTGCTAGAGAGAACCACGGGGGAAGAAGGGAGGATTCACAGATGCCCCGAGGTACCAAAGAGGGCCACGGCAGACACGGGCCCTGCGGAGGTCCCAAGGGGAAGGGCCACGGGGTCAGCGGGGGCTTCCGGAGGGGTCCCAGAGGCTCACCTCCGTGTCGTAGAAGATACACCGGCCATCGTAGGTGCCAATCACGGCGTACTTGCCATTCTGGCAAAAGTTTGCAGCAGTGATCAGCTTGGTCTGTCCGTCCACCTCGTTCCAAAGGGCCACTTTTTTGTCAGGAATGTTCCAGAGCCGGAGCTTGCCGTCCAGCGAGCCACTTAAGAAGTATCTGTCATCCTAAAAAGGGGCCAGAAGAGCCCTTGTGACTCGCTTGGGTATGCCGGATCTCTCCCCCTCCCTCCCTCCCAGGATTCGCAAGCCCACTTTCCGCACGGAGTGGGTTGAAAATGCAGCACCACGTTTAAGAAACTGACCCTGGGATGGAAGGCGATGGCAGTGACAAAGTCGATGTGCTGGAAACAGCAGAGGCATTCCCGCCGGGATATGTGCCAGAGCCTGACGGTCTTATCCATGGACGAGGAGAGCAGGAAGTAATTCTGTGGAACAGGAAGCAAACGGGGGTGGTGGGGGTGGTGTTGATTTCCAGGGTGCCCAAACTACAGAAGGAAGTTTATTTGTGTATTTATCAAACTTCTCCGTCACAGAAGGAGTGGAAGACGGGGCCCTGGAGGCTTGCAGCCTCAGTCAAAGAAATTACAGGAGCAAAATAAGATTTCATCTGCACCAATAACGGGGGATTGATAACTGAGAAAGGGAATATTCACAACTGGTTGTCAGGGTTCTGGCAATTGCCCTAATTAAATCATGAGCCTCGAGCCCAGCTTCAAAAAAATCCAAAAGATTTATTAGGAGCAACTTGCTGGCATTAACCTAAATGAAGCCGACTCTGGCATACCAGATTGACAGTCACCTGTGACCCTGTTTCCCTGCTCCCCCCTGGGTGTGTCATAAATCAGATTCTCCAACAAAGCACATTCACAGGCTGGGTGTCAACAATCACGTTCTCCAATGAAGGAATTTCCGAGGGCAGAAGATCCGGTAGCCTAGCTACAATCTTTGTAAGATAAGTGTTGGAATGTACTTCTGGTTTTAAACTGCCGTACTGCTCCTTCAGATCCCCGGGTTCATGGCAATTCAGAAACAGGCATAGGAATGTTTTACGAGTTGCCACTGGTTTTGGAATCCCCAAAATAATCAGGGTTGGAGGTAAACCACAATAGAACATTTCTGATCTCTCCTCCCTCTTGTTTGGCGAAAAGGAAGGGTGCCTGGTCAGGATTTTATGGTTGTCCAAGAAACCAGCAAAGACCTTGGAAGGACCAGACAATACCCAAGTGCAATTCCCCAGCGAGATCACAACTGCTTTAAATCGTGAACAGCAAGAGGAAATGGGATCCTCCCTTACTTTAGACCAGGACAAATCCAGGAGGTCAGCCGTGTGCCCTTTGTATTTGCAGAATGGCCGCTGCCGAAACGGGGTGCTCTTGTCATCGGGGTCCTCGTCGGTCCCGCTGCACACCTGGAAAGCAGGTTGAAAAAGAATGACAGGAAGCCCTCCCAACCGGTGACATCCCCCCCTCCTCTTCCTGGAAGGAGGCAGGGAGAGCAGCCTCCTCCACTGCCCTCCCACCCCCAATTCCTGGTCGTTCCCACCGAAGACAACCGATTTGAGTGCCTGCAACTAGACGAGGAAAAGTGGTGGTGCATTTTGAAGCCATGTTCCTCTGCAGCCCTGGGTTTTCTCGGCCTTGGCCACTTTAAGAGGCGTGGACTTCAACTCCCAGAATTCCCCAGCCTACTGGGGGAGGGGGGCTGCGAAGAGCTCTTTCAAGGCTGAAGGAGGAATACCAAAGGATAGAAACTCCAGGGAGGCCCCCCCGCCTGACTCACCCCCGTATCGTTATCCGACTTGGCTGAGTTCAGACTCTCCTGAGACGGGGAGGGGGAGACGCGGCCTGGAAGGCAAGACAGGAGAACCACTGAAGGGGGCTTCTCCGAAGAGCCACCGCCTTCCCGCTCCAGCTGAGCAGGTTGGCTGCCCGGCTGCCCAGGGAAGAGGCCCGGCAGACGAGGGCGGCACCTTCTGAGTTGTACTTCATCCTCATGTTGTTGAAGTAATCGAAGGCCGTCTTCAGCACCCAGATCCGCACCAGGTTGTCCTGGCCCGCGGAGGCCAGCAGCCGGCCGCAGTGCGAAAACTTCATGGTCCAGACAGCCCCCTGTCCAAAACGGCAAAGGTGCCTTAATGAGCCCCAAGGGGGGCACACGTGCAAGAGGCCCTCCGGCCAGACCACCTTGGGGGGAGGGGGGCTGCGGCTCACCATGTGCTCCCCGCTGAGATCCTGAACGACTTTCACTTGCTCGAAGTCATACGGCCCCTTGAAGCCGTGGGCGGCTTTGAACTTCACTGGCCGGGTGTACGGCATGCCCTCGTCATCACTGGACGACGGGTCGTCTTGATCCGTGTGGAAGACTGGGGAGAGAGAGAGCAGGTGGGGACATGGACTCTGTTGTACGCGTTTATGCATCAAATTATTGTATTTTATCCTATAACTATTGTATTTTACCCTGCTCTTAATTTAAATTGTTTGTACAGAATTTTATTGGTCATTCATGTTTGAACCTTGCATGTTGATATGGCCTAAAGTCTAATCAATTAATAAACCCGGACCCTTACACACACACACACTTAAATAATTCTGCTTTTAGACAGCACTTTTGGATGCAAAAAATGGCCAGATGGGCATGGAAGCTGTTCTGTGCCAAGGGGAGGGATTTTCCCTGTCTTGGCCCCGGAATGCCAAGACTGCAACAAGGGTGTGTGTTTGTGTGTGTGTGTCTTGCAAAACCACTGGTGGGCCCTTCTGGCAATATTTCAGCCGTTCCTACAGACTTTAGGTAAGAGGGTTTCACCTGTGCAGCCACAGGAAGTGGTGGGTTCTGCATCTCAAAGGCAGCGGAGTTCATAAATCCAGCCCTGTCTCTCTCCCCCTCCCCCCTTTTAGGATTTAGAAGAAGCCCCCTCCCCCGCCTCACCCACCTTCGTCTCGGACGCTCTTCACTTTGTTGACAGCCCGTTCTCCATACTCCTCCGCCAGATGCCGGGCCCTCTTGACCGATTTGCCCAAGAACTTTTTCAGCTGCGTCCTTCGAAAGGCGGGAGAAGAGAAACTCCTTGGCCTCCCGCTTTCCTCAGCCAAGGCCTCCGACAGCTACGCTCCTTTCGGGGAGCCCCGTGCGCCAGTCCCCACTCCACCCCTGCCTGCCCCGATCTTTGATGGACAGGCTTGCAGGGCAAAGCTACGCCTGGAGGGATTTGGACGGAAAACCTGGAAGCCCGGCTTCTCTGCCGCGACTGCTTTGAAACCCGGGCCTGTTTGGCTGTTTTGGAAGGTGCGGGTGTGTGTGGGGAGGGGGAGGCAGGGCTTGGGGAGGGGTCTGGTTGGTAGGCCACTCCTTGCATCCTTGAGAAAATTGGGGGACCCTCCAAGAAACGAGGACAGAAACGGCAGGAGCGAAACATCCCCGGAAACGGGATTCCTGGCTTGCAGGCCGGAGCCATTTCGGTCAGTCCTGATTGCCCCCAGGAAGAGCAGAGCCCCACCCCCCCCCCCTTCACCCCAGGAGCCTCACGTTCTCTGTTTCAAGCGGCCCCCGTCAGTGTCGCTCTGCTGCAGCTGCATTTTGTCTTCATCATCCGACTGGGCCCCGTCGTTACTGTACAAGGCAACCGGGAGAATTCAGTGTTAGTGACCGAGGGCCCAACTTTTGGGGACATTGAAGGGGGAGGCTGCCCTGCCTGCTGTGTGCCAGGCTCAGCCTTGCGAGGCACGGAGGGCACCGGTGGCCGCAGGAGAGCCTCTGCAGACCTTCAACCTTTTTCTTAGCTGCTGTGAGCAGTACCGGAAGCCCCATTCATGCTCGTGGGCAGCCGCTGGGCGGTGCAAGCAAGAGAAATGGGCGGGAGGTCCCAGAAACGGCGCGAGGGCATCCCCGTACCTGACGTATTCCTTCGTCCGCCGCATGATATGCAAGGTCAGGGGGTTGATGCCCGTGGGCAGCTTCTCCTCCGCCAGGCTCAGGGGAATCTCCTCGCCCGTGTCCAGGTTCTTGATCATGACACTGGCCAGGATCTCCTAGAGGGCGGGAGAGGCGGCAGTCGTGAGCTGTATCGCTTTGGATCTTCCCAGGGGGGCCGTGGAGGGCCAGAGACGGACTCGGGTCAACGGGCATCGAAGGGGTAAACCGGAGGGGGAGGGGACCCTCCGGCAACCACAAAGAGCCGCTTTCTTTTGCCTAGAGGGGCTCCCAGCTGCTCCCAGGAGAAACCTTCCCATTGGGGGTTCGCAGGGGTTCAGGGGAGACCCTAGCTAAGATTCTGTGCAGTTCGGAGAACCCCCAATTCCCACTCCTGGCTGGCCCCGCCCACCCTGCTCCTCCCCTCCCAGGAGTCCCCACATGGCCCGTTTTGGATGCAGGTAAGTGCAGGCGCACACGGAGGTACGGGGAGGCCGGAAAATCGGCCTCCTGGAAGTTCAGGAAGGGCAGAAATGGCTCCATTTCCAGCTTCCAAAGAGCCTCTGGAGCCCAAGGAGGGCGAAAACACCGCCACCCACCCCCACCGCGGTGCAGGAGGCCGACTAAGCCACACCCACCATGGCCACGCCTACCCACCAACCAGGCAGAGAACCCCTTGCTCACAAGCCCCAGCCAGGACCTGTCCGCAAAGGCAAGCGGCCTACCTCGTCTGTGAGTTCTCGGCCCGAGTTTGATCGGGGTCTCTGCGGTCCAATCACTTCGCTTAACACCACCTGGCCGTCTGCCGACTTCCCGTTCTCCTGCAACGACAGGAGGCGCGTGAAATGCAAAACTGAAAAGAGGCGGGAGGGGGAGCCCTCCCTCCCTCACCCTGTCCTGTGGTGCTGCAAAGAGGATCCGGGCAGATGCCAGGCGGCAGCTCATCCTTCCCCCCCCAACCCCAACCGGTGGCTCTGGCCAACCTCCGCTCACCGTCTGCTCACCTGAGCAGTGACCACTTTGTCGCCGCTGGTGGCGCTCGCCAAGTCCAGGGAAGGCTGGGAGTCCTTGGCCATGGAGTCCAGGGAGGTGTTGGGCATCAGGAGGCCCCCCAGGGAAAAAGGCTCCCGAGGAACTAGGGAAGAAGCACTGGAGTTGAAGGGGGGAGGAAACCGACAGAGACACCCCCCCACCCGGGAGGATTTGGCTTATGGGAATAAAGACTTGCCTTCCAGGCCGGGAATCTTGCCGGTCTCGATTTCCGAGTCGCTCTTCTTCTTCCTCGGTGGGGGGGCCGGCCGGGCAGGCGGGGGTGGCCTGGGGGGTGGGAGTGCCACGGGAGGCGGGGGCCGGGCCGGGCCAGACTTCTTGGTGCTGGCCACGATATCTGGCTCCATGGTCAGCTGTCGGGGGGGCTTGGCCGGAGCCGGCTCATCGGCGGCCGAGGAGCCTTGGGGGAGAGGGGGATCCGAGGACGGGGGCGCCTGATCGAATCCATCCGGCTGCCGTAGCTCGGTGGCCTGACAGCCTCCCTCCTCCTCTTCCTCCTCCGGGTCTCCTCCACCTGCTTTCCGCTCTCGGCTCCCGCTTGGGCTTCTTGCGGAGGTGACGGCATCTTCTCCTCTGGGGTGACCTGCCCCCTCATTGCCGGGAGGCGGCAAGGTCTCCTGGGACGCTACCCCGTTGGCCAGGGCCTCAGGGGCTTTGTGGGGGGCTTGCGCTGCAGCTTCTGCGATGAAGAATTCGGGAATGTGGTGGTGGAGATCTGCTCCCGAGGCCCAAGGGTCTGCGTGCGACGGGTGGCTGATTAGTTCCTTTTCGGGAGGGGCCAAAGGGTCCTCCTCAAGCCGATTGGCCTTCTGGCTTTCTTCTATGATGTTGTCAATGATCTGAGGAGCAAGTGTAACTGCAATTAGACCCCCCGAGTTAGCTGGGGGATAAAAATAAAAGATTATATAATCCAGCCGGTCAGGTGGGTGATCCACTTTGTCGTCCTGACTTCGGAGGATAATGAGCAGGCTCCAAAACGACTGTAAGCTGAGAGCGACTTGCATTGGTTTATATAGCAAAGGTCTCCAACCTTGGCCACTTTAAGACTTCTGGACTTCAACTCCCAGAATTCCTCAGCCAGCTG